GTTTATTACTAGATAAATCTGCCTCAATAATGTAACCTAATTACTGTCACTATCACGAAATAAAAGCAAACCCTATAGACACTTAAGCTGTATTCTTGATTGTCTTTCATTTAGCTACAAGATAAGAAAAAGCCCTCCAGCAGCATCTCCATTTTCTGTCTCTTAGTTTTTTACATTTTAAAACTCATTACAAGCAACGCTCATAAAATCACATCTGCTAGAACTCACTGGTGGTAGAAGATAGCAGTTACTGGTGTCAGCTTGGAACCCAGTATAAAGCCTTATAAGTGGATTCTCACTAATCATGTTAAATAGCTGAATGGCAGACAGCTCTTTTATATAGATTTGAATGCAGACATTTACTCTTGGTTTCTTCACCAGTTGGTTTATTTTACCTAGAAACACTGTAGTCATGCATATTTGTTGAGAACTTGCTATGTGCCAGGCATTGTTTTAAATGCTAAGTGTAACCATTTTAGTCTTCACGACAGTTCTGTGAGATGTGTTCAACTGTCATAATTGCCTATGGCACAGGATAACCCAAGAACAGAATGGTCACTGAAGGTCACACAGCTATTAGGGATACTTGGTATCTGTCTATCTGAACTATTCACTGTCCACATGCTGTCTTAAGTGTGCTGACTTACACCACATAAAGTTTGCCCTTTTCTAAGTGCAAAAAATATCATCTCCTAAGAGTTACTTGAATCCAAATGGGGGATTGTGGTCAGCGGACTAGGATTTTGTAGAACTAGCTGTTTTTCCTGTCTTTGCTAAGAAGCAGAAGGAATTGTACAGGCAGTGACCTCCTGCCTTCTTTTTTCTCCCACAACAGAAGGCACTGGAGACAGGCAGATCCCAAGGTTTTAGATTGCATATACAGGTTTCTAAGCGTTGTGCCTAGAGAATTACAACCCACAGGCTCCTACAGGCTCTTTTGCCTAGAGGTAGGACAGATTCCAGTAAATCAAATGCAAAAAGCTAACCATCAAGTCTGTTTTGTGATTGAAGTGTCAAATATCCACAGTGTGTCTCTAGAGCTGTGGTTTTATTGAGCTCTGCTAGCATGTCAGTGTTTACAAAGGTGAAACTGAAGAGTGAGCATGTAACATGGCTGCAGTGTTGGGTGCAGCAAGCGGTATCCATGTACACGCTGTCTTGCTGTAGGGTGTCATTTACATTGTCAGGGCTGCTTTGCAAAACAGCAAACGACAGCTCCGCCAACCCCGGCCTGTCCAGCCAATGGCTCTTTTCCCTCCTTACTGTGTTCCCATGAGCCTATATTCTCCTGTAGGCAGACTTGAAAATGCTGAAGCCTCTGCAATTAAGACCTCTCTGGACCATGTAATGTAACCTATTGTGGAGACACAGTGCAGGTTTCTATTCTGGTTTCTATCTACTATAAAGCCAAAAGTTAGTCTCTCTACAACATTTTTGCTCTTGCTGGATGATAGGGAAATCTGAAAACAAGTCACTAAATATTATGAAAGAATTAAGTTAACAACATTCAGAATTGTACTAATTAGAAATTATACTACCTTATATAACATTTTGGATAAAACTATTGCAAGATTTCATGAGGAAGGGAGAATTTAGTGTGGTAAAAAGGAAAACCTAGTGGTTCAAAAAGTGAGGGAGGTAAACACATTCTTTTTGCACCTGTAGCTTGAGGGGCAATGGGTATGTATTTTACACTTTTTAAAAATTCATTAACATTACTTGCATTTAATTTTTTTTAACCCTCACCCAAGGACATGTTTTTATTGATATTGGAGAGGATGAGAGAGAGGGAAACATCCATAGGAGAAAAGAAACATCAATTAGTTGCCTCCTACATGTGCCGTGACCAAGGATTGAACCCGCAACCTTTTGTGAAGGGGCAACCCTCCAACCAACTGAGCCATCCAGCCAGAGCAATATTACTCGCTTACATTTTTACATAGTTTTAAAAATTTTAAGATAGGTTTATTATTTTTTCAAGTTGTTACTCAATTGCTTGAATCAGACTTTAATCCTAATTTTTCCCTGGCGTGGTTGAGAACTGTTACTTTTCTTTAAACTGTATCAGTCTCGAACATACCTGATTATAAGGCTTATGTGGGACTGAGATAAAGTACAGATTTCCAGGCCTGGACCTCATGGTTGGTTGCATGAATTCTGTGTTTTTCCCTTCAAATTTTCATTTTGAAAATAAAAATATTCAAATCTTTATCTTCAACTAGGTTCAACAATTGCTAAAATTTGCCACTTTTGTACTATACTGTACCATTTGCCATTATTGATAGTTGAATAGGTGGATGGATGGGTGGATGGGTGGTAAACAATTTGGCCTTTTTCTCTATTAAAACACTTAATAATCTCTTCTAATTTGTTTTCTTCACAGTTCCTTGACATGTGTAATCCCCAGGCTTAATGTAGAAAGGAAGAACAGATTTTTAGTTAGAAGGTTATACTCAACATAGAACTGCCAAATTATTCTTTTCATTGTGAAACAATGTTATAAATGCATATTTAAATATATACATATATCCCCTTTAAAAACTAATAACAATGGATCATTCCTGCCCTCACTACACTGTAAGAACTAGAACATTAGCAGAAACTTCAAGCCCCTTGTGGGCCACTGCTAAATATTTAACACACATCATTTCTTCTCCACATGGGACCATTTTCCTGAATTTTGTGTTATTCCCTGACTTTCCTTTAAAGTTTCTCCCCATAGATGTATCAGGAAAAAAGTGTTTCAGTTCCTTGGTTTTGAACATTCTTTAAATGGATTCATATGTTTTCTCAGATGACTTGCTTTTATTTTTTTCACTGTTGTAACTTTGAGATTCATCCCCGTTGATATATTTGGTTATAGTTTGTTTTCACTACAAACAGGTCCTCGAATAATGTCTTTTTTCCCCCCATGTAGTTTTGTTATAATGTTGACAAGGTGCTGTAGGAACTTAACTCTTGTTTACATCAATTAGCCTGCAGTAAAATTGGGTATACATTGTCATTTTCCTTAAAGTTGCAGAACCTATCAATGATGTTAAGTGAGGTGGGGCAGGGGAAAGTGGTAGCAGGTAAATGGAGACAAATGTATTTGAGAAAATTTTTTTAAAGAAATACATTTTTTAAAAAAGTGAGGACATATGAATATACCAGAATGTATTGTACCATTGATGAACATTAGGAATGCTTTCAGTTTCTTTTCATGTGAACAGTGTGTCAAGAATATTCTTGTAGGTAGTCTTTATGAACATGTACAAGAGTCACTTGCGGATAAATTCCTAGGCATGTCCAGAAAAGGTGTGGTCATTTTCTGAATACCAGAGGTTACTATCATTCAAGGAGTAGGATTGATTCCTTGAACTCCTTTGGTTAGCTTGCAATTGGGTCTGGATTTTTGGTGTGCCCCATAAAACTTTTTTTACATTTAATATACCTAACTTCAGCTCCAGAACTGAGTAGAAGTGGTCCAAGACTGGAAACTCTGACCTATGCTTGTCAGGACAGTCATTTGAGCTGGGAATCCACGTACTGGATTATGCCATGGTGACATTCGCTGAGTCAACTCAGTTTCTATATTGATTACTCTCATGGTGTTCTATTGCTTCTTTGATACCTATTCCATGTTGGTGACTTTCTACTCTACTTGAACAACACAATGTCCACATGCACTGTCTGATAAACAAGATAACACATTGGAAAGAACATGGACTTTAGATTTAGAAGTACTTGAATTTAATAAGTTTGGCCATTTACATATTAGAGAGATGCTGCTATAATTAGAATAGATGAAAAGTGCTCCACCTTTGCCTGACATTTGGAAACATGCAGTAAATTACAGTGTTGTTGTTTGTTCTCCTTATTTGCCATTACCCAGAACTCAGAAACCTGAAATACTGACATTCCTTTCTCTGAAAACCTTTTTCTTTCTTGATTGAATTAATGAAATTTCTCTCCAATCACCCCTCATTTCAAAATCTCATCTCAGCTTCCAGTTTACTTCTCTGAGTTATTATAATGTTCACACACATATTTTTGACTTAAAGGTTTAACATGTCTTCTTTTGGCCTCCTCTTAACTATAACACGTGCCAATTTGAACTTTTGATTCCTACCTTCCCCACTTTCCACCATTCCCCTAATCATCTTCCTCTCGATTTCAGTCAATAGCATTGCCACCAACTTAGTTGCCCTGACCTAAAACTGACATCCATCTTTGAATCCTGTGTTTTCTTTAGCCCATCTGTAGTCTATGCTTCCAAATCATGTCATACATCTGACCATACCTATTGTTACTTCCCAACTCTAAGCCAGTATCATGTCTCACATGAATAACTGCTACCATCCCTGGTCACTCTGCCTGTACTCTTGCCCCCTCAAGATAAATTGTTGATCAGATCTGATCACTTTACTGCGATAATAACAAATTCCAAACATTTCGTCATGGCCTTTACGTATGATCAGACCTCTCCATTCCTTACCTTGTTTTTTTTCATTCGTTGTGTCCCTGTCACACCTGACCTCTTCCTCTCCCTTAGGTATTCCAAGCTCAGTGCCACATTAGGGCCTTTCCCCATACTTTTCTTTCTTTCTGGAACTCTCTTCCCAAATTATTGGTGTAGTGTCTCCTTTCATAGTTCAAATAGCTCAAAGCTCACCTTCTGAGAGAGGGTTACCCTGACTCTCATGTTTTTCTTAAACTTTTTACTTTCTTCATAACTGCACTGTCTACATTTAATGTTAAATATTTGTTGACATATTTTAAAAATCTCATTCCACTGGAATATAATGTACAGCAGAGTGTCCATCTAGTTTACTGCTATATTTTCAACATCTGTAATAGTGTCTTGTACTTAATAGGTGCTCAGTAAATATTTGTTGGATTAATGAAGGAATGAATGAAAGGTAACTGGAGGCTAAAAGAATCACAGAACTTGTTCATGTATCACTAAGTAATAATAGTAACTATATTTTTTAAAGGTATGAAAATGTTTTATTTTTCAGGATTAATTGGAATTCTTCAAAATGTCAGGTAAGTTTTTGTGAATAAGTTTTAATATGCTTTATTTTCAAATGTGAATTGTGTGATAGCTTTCCTTAAAATTGGAATTTATTTCATTTTGAAGTTTTTATTGTTATTTATTATTTGGAGAATATATATTCATTATATATACTCATTTATACATATGTACATTTCTTTCTTATTTAACAAAAAGCATTAAAAGGGGTTCATATTGACACATATGTACTGAAAGATCTGTAAAGTATATGGGGACATTTGGGTAAAGGAAAAACACTGGTAGGAAAGTTAGTCTGCAAAGAAAGGTAGTAACAGTAAAAAGCCTGCAGTGACAGCCTAGCATCACAGAGGAGGGCTCAAAAGTAGCCCCTGCATCTTAAAGCAATGCAGGAGATGATATAAGGAGAAAAACACCACATTTGTGGGATTTGTATGTTTTTTTTTAAGTAAAAGTCTATCAGTTAAGTTAAAGATTCAGAACTTTTCCTTCTAGTGAATCCAAGGATAAGGTTCTCTAATTTCAACAGGAGGACACTATGGAAAGAGACTTCAATACCCCCTTGCTGCAATTAAGGGGACTTAGGTCTTTTAGAAAGAGCAGGATAAAAGTGTGACTCACTGGAAATGTAGACCAAAACACCTCTCATGGAGCTGTTATGTGGCACTGCTGGTTTTTAAAACACTTACTATTCATTGTGCTCTGTTTTGAATTTACTAAGTATTTATCATGTTATAGTTTGAATTTTTAAAAAATGCAGCCATTTCCAAAAATGGATTCAGGAAAAAATCAGATTCACTTTACGCATGACTATATATATTAGGAAAAATGATTTTTGACACTGAGAAAGGGATTTGTGTAAGTAGGAATCAGATTCAGACCAGCTGAAGCTACTATCATAAAAGCTCATTGCTTTGATCATAGCATAGTGGTATAATACTGTATTTTATTTTTAAATCTATATTCAGTCTGAAAATTCATCAAATATGTTAACAGGTTTATATTTAATATACATAATGAATTGTGTTTTTGTATGAAGTATGAATGTATTTCATATTCGTTTTATGCGTCGGTACATGCATAAAAATGAATATATTCTGTTATCATATCGTTTCTGTTGTAAATCATGTCCTCTGTCTTTCCCCAAAGGTGTAATCCCCACAGCCCCTGAGAAACCTGCAGATGAAATGGAAAGTCAAATAAAGTCACCTAATCTACAGCCTGATGCCCCTCCTGACTACAATTCCCATTTTGTACCAGGTAGGCTAACTATTCAGAAAGGATCTTTCCTCTTTCCAGACAACCATTCTAAGAGTCAAGATTGCTTTTAAAAACAATTAATTGAGTAGTTCAATAAATATCTAATGCCTACGGGCACCAAGTAGATTACTAAGAGTCAATTAAGAAAATAATCTTAGGGCTTCCAGTCAAGATGAAGACATAGGTAAACACTGCTCACCTCCTCACACAACCACATCAAAATTACAACTCAACTACAGAACAACCATCACTCAGAACTATCAGAAATAGAGTTGAATGGAAATTCTACAACTACGGAATTAAAGAAACCACATCCCTCCAGACTGTTAAGAGGGGCGCAGAGATATGGAGACACAGTACAGGCTGGTTTCACACCCATGTAGGGTGGATAAAAATTTGGGAGTGATATCTTGAGAATGAGGAGTCCCAACCCCACACCAGGACCTACCTCCCCCCAGGGCTCCAGTGCCAGAAAGATAAGTCTGATAAATTCTGGCTGCAAAAACCAGTGGCAATTCAGTCAATGGAAGAAATTTCTGGAGTCCCAAGCAGTTCTTCTTAAAGAATCTGCACAAAGACTTACTCAACTAACTCCCTCTGAGCTCCAGCACCCACGTGGCAGCTTAAAAGGTACCAGTGGCATATGGGGAGGACCTGAAGTATCTGGCATCAAGGCAAGAGCTGGGGGACAGCTTTCTCCCAGACAAAAAGGCAGGCAGAAGCCAATGTTCCGTTTCTGAACCCTCCTCCCACGAAGCCACAGAGCCAGCATGCTGCTGCCATATCTGAGACTCCATCAACCTGTATAACACTGTTTGCCCCACCCAGGTGGAGCTCTGAAGCTTTGCCCCATTTAACTTACAGCCCCACCCCATCCAAAGCTGTTAACAGTGGCTTTGCCATATGAATGGCTGGTCTTGGCTCATGTTTTACAACTTCCTAAATTCTCTCAAGGAAGCAACAGCCAGACTCAGTGACCCCTAGCCCCCATACCTCTTGCTAAGTGGCCCTAAGCCTGGACCTAGCAGCAGCCAGCCTAGGTTCACAGCTGGTTTTACCTGGAAACCTCCAAAACCAGCACAAGTAGCAGCCATATGCAGATTACTTTGTCACTCATACAAGGTGGCCCCAGGTAGAACACAGGAGGGGCCTGACCTTGATCTACACCGCCAAGGAAACTCCAGAGAACAGCGCACCCAGTGGACAGCTACAGACCACGTTGCACCACCACCCTGGCCCCACACAACTGATCCTTCATGGAGATTGGAGGCTGGTAGTCAGTGGTCACAGCCAATTTTTGCAGCTCACTAGCCTAGGTAAATCCCTCCCACTGACCTCCCTATAGCATTCAAGTCTCTGCTACAAGAGGAGGGTATACTCAGCCCACAAAAAGGATGAACCTCAAGTACCCACCTTGGGTGATGGGGAGGCTATGCCACTGGACCCAAGACACCTAATAGATTAGGTCACGCTACCAAGACACAGAGTCATAGCAACTCTACCTAATACATAGAAAGAAACATAGGGAGGCTGCCAAAACGAGACAGAGAATCATGGCCCAAATGAAAGAACAGAACAAAATTGCAGAAAAAGACCAAAATGGAGATAAGGAATCTATAAGATGCAGAGTTCAAAACACTGATAATAATAATACTCAAGGAACTTAGTGAGGACCTCAACAGCATAAAAAATATCCAGTCAGAAGTGAAGGATACACTAATGGAAATAAAGAACAAATTATAGGCAATCTACAGTAGAGTGGATGAAGCTGAGAATTAAATCAATGATTTGGAACATCAGGGAGCAAAAAATAACAAATCAGAACAACAATAAGTAAACAGAATCCAAAAAAATGAAGATAGTGTAAGCAGTCTGTGGGACAACTTCAAGTATTATAACATTTGCATCATACAGGTACCAGAAGGAGAAGAAAGAGAGCAAGAAATTGGAAATCTATTTGAAAAAATAATGAAAGAAAACTTTCCTAATGTGGTGAGGGAAATAAACATACAAATCCAGGAAGCACAGAGAGCCTCCAACAAGATGCAGCACAGAGAGCCTCCAACAAGATGCACCAAAGAGACCCACTGAAAGACACATCATAATTAAAATGATAAAGGTTAAAGATAAAGAGAGAATCTCAAAAGCAGGAAGAGAAAAGCAGTTAGTTACCTACAGGTGAATTCCTGTAAAGTGATCAGCTGATTTCTTAAAAGAAACTTTGCAGGCTATAAGGGATTGGCAAGGATTATTCAAAGTCATGAAAAGTGTGAGCTTACTGCCAGGATTGTTCTACCGAGCAAAACTATCATTTAGAATTGAAAGGCAGATCAAGAGCTTCCCAGACAAGAAAAAAACTAAAGGAGTTCATCATCACCAAACCATTATTATATGAAATGTCAAAGGGACTTATTTAAGAAAAAGAAGATCAAAAATATGAACTACAAAATGACAATAAATGCATATCTACCAACAATTGAATCTAAAAGACTAAACAAACAAGAAAAGCAGAGACAGAATCATGGATAGGGAGAGACTTTTGATGGTTTCTAAATGGGAGAGGGGGTGTAGGGTAATGGGTGAAAAGGTAAGGGGATTGAGAAGTACAAATAGACAGTTACGGAATAGCCATGGGGCTGTGAAGTGCAGTTTAGGAAATGGAGAAACTAAAGACCTTATAGTCATGACCCACGGACAAGTTCAATCATAGGCGATTGCCTGAGGGAGTAGGGGATGCTTGGGTGGAGGGGGGCAAAGAGGGAAAAATTGAGACAACTGTAATAGCATAATAAATAAAATATAATTTAAAGAGAGAACATACTCTTCAGGAAGGAGCTGTACAAACATTGATGGCATTCTCTTTGCTCAATTATGGAAAAATGAAGAGAATGTTGTAGGGGCACAGATGACAGTGACTGACTACCTGGGATCTGCAGGAAGCCCTAACCCCCTAACTGAGGAAGTCATGTTTTGACTGTGGTTAAAGAGTTTCCCAATCAAAAACAGCGAGACAGGGACCATGGCTAGCCAAAAGAACAATATGTCCAAAAGCACAGGTCATGAAAGTCTGGTATGAAATATGCATGGGACAAATGGCAAAAGATACATATGTGAATGTCATTGACTGCTGGTTAAGGAGCTTGTGGTTCTATTGATACTTTAACAAATCTAAATACACTTCTGCTTGTGACTTAGGAAAATGGATACTTACATTTCTAGTGGAAATTTGAGTTACTATATAGTCATTTTAGACAGTAATTTTGCAATGAGTAAAATTTTTTAAATTAAAAATACACTTCTAAGAAAATAGTTTTCATCAGAATTATATTCAAATATATTTTAATGAGTTAGAAAATAATGGACAAGGTTGTAGCAATATTTATTTAAATATGTATTTATGTATATTTAGAGGTGGAAATTGCTGAGTTAGGCTGAGAAAGAACAGAAGAAGCCCTGGTAGCCACAGGATGCTGGCAGAGATGTTATTTTTGACTCTAGACATGTGATCCATGGAGCTCAGGTAGCCTTTGTCCTGCAGTGTTTTCTGAAAAGAGCAGGGCTTCCTTTCCCCTTTCCCTCATGTGTACACATATTGTGTGGATCTAATTCAGTATTACCTCTTGTAACCGGCTGAACTCTGCTAAATCCATGGTTGACAACCTAAAATTTTAATATTGCTGTATTTTATCACTTATATATATTTATATATATTTAATTTCAGTGACTATCAACATGATCTGCATAATCTATCTTATTTTCACCAATCTATCTAAGCACCTAGATTTCATTGGAACAAATGTTCCACCGCTTCTAAGAAGTAAACACTGGTTATAAATCATATTCTGGTCAACTGGGAAAGTGTTTATTCCTTTATATATCAAAATATTAACAAAAAAGTAGGAAACATCCTTCAAATTAAATGTCTAGGTAAGTTGAAAAATATGATGCAGAGCATACAACAAATTTTATGAATTTGTAACAAAAATTTACTGTGACTGCCACCTAGTGGCTGAAATATGTACTTTCTTATGATGACAGATTATGTCCCTGTGATTCATATTAAGTAAACTGAAATACTCTACTTGAAATATTTGGCTTTAACTAATTTCTTTAAATTCAATTATATAACTTTCATTTGCATTATAGTACTAAATATGTGTTCTTCCCAAAAATTATTTTGTCCCAAATATATTTAAAATAATAGTTAATAAAGAAACCTTTGCTATATGTAGTCTCTTTAAAGAGAAAAAAGACATAATTTCTTGAAATAAGAAAAAATGAGCCCTGGCTGGTATGGCTTAGTGGATTGAGCGCTGGCCTGTGAACCAAAGGGTCGCCAATTCGATCCGCAGTCAGGGCACATGCCTGGGTTGCACGCCAGATCCCCAATAAGGGACATGTGAGAGGGAACCACACATTGGCGTTTCTCTCCCTCTCTTTTTCCTTCCCTTCCCCTATGTATAAAAATAAATAAATAAAATCTTAAAAAAGAAAGAATGTTATTCAAAAATAACTAAGAAAACACAAATCTGACAAGGCAGTATTTCTCACACAAATATTGGTAGGACAATGCTGCATAGCAGACTTCTTCTTCTTCTTCTTCTTTTTTTTTTACAGAGTTACCTTTTAATTTTTTTATGGAAAGGTCACTTCAGATCTACTGTCTTAGCAAATTTCAAGTATACAGTAAATATTATTAACCATAATCATCATGCTCAGAACTTATTCATCTTTTTTTAAATTTAAATATTTTTTGTTTTTTCTAATTACAATTGACATACAATATTATATTCATTTCAGGTATACAACCTAGTGATTAGATGTTATATAACTTACTAAGTGATCACCTGATAAATCTAGTACCCATCTAACATCATACATAGTTACTACAATATTTTTTACTTTATTTCCTATGCTGTATTTTACATTCCCATGACTATTCTGTAATTACCAATTTGTTTTGCTTAATCTCTTCACTTTTTTCACCTGTCTCCCTAAAT